TCGCCCTGAAAGCTGCTTGGGTTCGAGCTGCTGCTCGCCCTGAAGGCTGCTCGGGTTCGAGCTGCTGCTCGCCCTGGAAGCTGCTCGGGTTCGAGCTTCACGTGTCGGATCTGTGCGGGTCGGTTTGTGATCCGGACCCAAATGTCCTGCAGCGCCGAGTAAACACGGACGGACCCCAAACACTCAGTTTCACAAAATGAGGAGAAATTCTGAGGTTTTAATGTTTGAGACATTTTTTTATTTATGTTTGTTTGTGTTTATTTATTCAGCTAAAGAAGTAAAAATAAAGTGTCTGACAATCTGCTGGAACCAAAGAGCCGAGAGATCCAGTTTAAAACTGGTTCCGTTTGTCGACGCCTGCGCTGGACGTACACTCGATGAGAATACTCTCCTGAAGTGTTATTTAAGAGCTGCACGTAAAAATACTTTTTATTACAATAAAAATCAAACATCTGTAATAAATTCTGCCATTTGTTTAGTTCGTGTTAGGACAAATCACAAGATCAGAGAAGACTAAACCGAGTTTATAGCTTTAATTAAAACAAAACGCTGAACTCTGTGGAAATACAGAAGAAACGCTGAGGGATGAACGACAGCTGAAGTTAAACTTGACTTGTTAAAACAAGCTGAACACGAGCTGAAACGAGCAGAACATCAACCGAATTGCGCAGAACTAGCTAAAAGGGCTAAATTGAGTTAAATAGTGTAGAACTAAAACTAGCAGAACAGAAGGCAAAATTTAATTTTTTCTTAACATTAGGAGTTCATTTAAACAGCAGAAGTGTAGATCAGGTAGAATTAGCAGAACAGCAGCTAAAAGCTAAAATAAATAACATGGTAGCTAAAAACCTAAAGTAACATAAAAAGGCAAAAATCTAGCCAAGAGCTGAAGCAAAAATAATAATAAAAAATGCTTTGAAATAATTAAAAATCTTTTAATTTATATCTTAGAGAACAATATTAGTAAATAAATTTATTTTTAAAGTGTATAAAAGTTTAAAAAACTTCAGCACCCGGCTCCAGAATGAGACGAATATTTTGATATGAGCAGCTAAAACAAAAGTATTTTGAACGCAGAAAATAAACTCAAACTATTCTGTGAATAAACTTAAACCAGTTTGTCAGAAATGTAGTTGAGTTGATTAAATTTAAAATCAAACAGAAATCATTTTAACTTTTGCTTCTGTTTGGTTTTTATTTTAATAACTCTTCGTGTTTGAAAACAATCTGCCGTTTGTTTTTCTTCTCGTCCGAAACAATAAAAACTAGTTTTCTGGTGGTTTCGAGACAAACGTGGCTCAGTTTGGACATGAAATATGAAGAATTCACGTAGAGAAGTTTCAGTTCTCCTGTTTTCATTTGCAGTTTAGCAACGAACTGGAAAGAAAACAGCTAAAGCAGGAAAACAGCTAAAACTAGCCTTAGCTGTCCAAACTACGAAGAGGGAACCAAAGGGGCCACATGTGGCCCCTGAGCCGCAGGTTGCAGACCACTGAACCAACTGCACAGACAATGTTTAATTTATTGAAATAAATATTTATTAACTATCTGTCCTGTAACATGAACCGCTGAAGGTCATGTACAACCCTGACCTTTGACCTCCGTCCTTTCCTCCTGTCTGTACCTGACTGTCCTCCTCTGGGTGTGTGTGTGTGTGTGTGTGTGTGTGTGTGTATGTGTGTGTGTGTGTGTGTGTGTGTGTGTGTGCATCCAGTTAAGGTGCAGCGTAGTCCCCGCCCCCTCCCCTGGGAAACCGGCGGCTCCGCCCCCATCCTTCCTCCCTACCACTACAACACCTACCACCCCGACCAATCAGGCTCCAGATCCCATAACCGCCATACAAACAACCCTCGTATGTGTCTCTGTATTCAGACCAAGTTTGGACGAGAGACCTCCGCTCGTCATCTCTCTCTCTCTCTGCAGCCCTCAGCCACTCGTTCTCTCCTGGTTCCATGTCGGCCTATAGTCTCTCGTCCCTCAACATGAGCACCCTGCCCAGGAACATGTACCCCACGAGTCCACGCAGCACCATGATGAGGAGGAAGAACAAGAAGAAGGACTTCAAGAGCTCCTGTGAGTCTGATTAAAAAAAAAACTTTATGTCCTGTCAGCACGAACAAATGGACGCTGTAACTGAGTCTCGCTCGCCGTCAGTGTCTCTGGCGTCCAGCACCGTGGGACTCGCCGGTCAGGTGGTCCACACGGAGACCACGGAGGTGACGCTGCTGGGCGACGGCATCATGGGGTTCGGCCTGCAGCTGCAGGGCGGAGTCTTCGCCACGGAAACGCTGTCGTCGCCGCCGCTCATCGCCTACATCGACCCCGACAGCCCAGCTGAGAGGTGAGTGGCTCCGCCCCCACCAAGCAGAAACAACAAGCCCCTCCCCCAGTATAAAACATGTTTGTGTGTAGGTGCGGCATTCTGCAGATCGGAGACAGAATCCTGTCGATCAACGGCGTCCCGACCGAAGACTCGACTCTGGAGGAGACCAACCAGCTGCTCCGAGACTCGTCCATCACCGCTCAGCTCACGCTGGAGATCGAGTTCGACGTGGCAGGTGGGCAGCGGCACCAGAACCGAGCCCGCGGGTCGTTCTGACTGGATGTTTGTCTGCGTTCACCTGTTTCTGGCTCGTTTGGCTCTTTGTGGCTAAAACACGTTCAGCTGGTCCAAAGAACCGCCCACTCCTCAGCTTCATGCAACAAGTCAACAAGCTGTCGCCAACTCCCTGAAACGTCTGAGGGAACACGAGCTGAACATGAGCTAAAACAAACAAAACACGATCAGAGCACGAGCCAAACACAAGCAGAAACAAACAAAATACAAAGACAAAACAAGCTGAAATGACCAGAACACGAGCTGAAACAAATAAAATACAAACTGAAATGACCAGAACACAAGCTAAATACAAGCTGAAAAGAGCTGAACACGAGCTGAAACAAACAA